CCCCAAAACCCCAAAACCCCAAAACCCCAAAACCCCAAAACCCCTTATTGAAGTATAATTTTTGAAAAGTTCTAATTATAAAAAATGAGCATTAGGCAGGCTTTGTTTATCCAAAGACGTCATTCAATGATTGGGAAAGAGGAAATAAAAGAGAGACTTTCTTCTAGTAGTAGGAGTTCTAATCGAAGAAATTCAAGTGATAAACATGACAATAAAAAGGTATAGCTTGATTTGATAAATGCTTAATATTTGTGCTTTAGAGGATATTGGATTTCCTCAGAGATCCTCTTATTGATTATGAGCAAATCCTAACTAAGCCAATGAAAAAGCCTGCTCTAAAAATAACCTCTCCTAGAGAAACTCTTGAAATTCTCTCAGAGGTTGAGAGCTGACTTAAAAGCGTGCCTCGGAACATTCTAAAACTTGAAAAGAATCTTGTTTATCTGAAACCGAGATGAGTGCATCTAAGGGAGAAATTACAGGAGGCATTGAGTTCTAGGGCACCATTAAGTTGCTCATACTACAAAAATGAGGCAGATAAGATCATAGGGACAATAAAATAACTGTGATTTAATCAAAACGATATAGATAGAAAGAAATCTTTTGGAGAGGGAATCCCTCCAAGTCCTTTAACGCAAGGTCTTGACTCAACTATTGATGGAACACCTCTGAAATTGTCAAATAAAATTGACCCACAAGAGCAAGAAATTCAAGAGCTGAAAGAGATTATTAGTGAGAGAGATAATAATATTGCTAACCTTAAAGAAGAGAATAATAATCTTAAGATGAAAATAGTGAGTCTTAAGAAAACGACTGGGAACCTTATGAAAAAGGCTTTACGTTTTGAGAAAGAGAATGATAATCTAGAGAAAGAGAATAATAATTTCAGGAAAAATACGGATAGTCTTAAGAAAGAAATTACGATTCTTAAGGGAGAAAATGATAGTCTTAAGGAAAAATTGGTTACTCTTGAGAATAAAAATGCTGACCTGACGAGAGAAAATTTTAGGCTCAGGGAAAAGATTAAATACCTTGAAGAAGAAACTGTACATTTGGAGGAAATAATTGAAATACATGAGAACAAGATTAGTTCTCTCAATAATAAAATTAACTGTAAACTCACCATTTAATTATCATAGATTTACTTGACGAATTAAACACTTCAAGCCCTGATAATTTCAATCTACTAGTTCAAGCAATGCTAGGGATTGCTTTTAAAATATCTCCTTCGTCAACCCTCAGCTTGGACCTGGCCAATACCAAGCATTATGATTTAATAGACAAAGTCAACGATAAGATGCCTGATGTAGGAAGGCTAGGCATCAACAACTTAGGAGAAGATATAGGCCAGGCCAAGAAGATACTCAAGAGTAACATGTTAGGAAAGATAGACGAACTCTCGCTGAATGAGGAAGGCCAGATGGTGGAGTTTCATGAATTTGGAGAAGAATTTGAGAAAGAACTTTTGAAAATTGTAAAACAAAATGTTTGCAAGAACATTTCGTTGTCTAATTTTAAGATCCAGAAAGGGAGCTTGAGTGAACTGCTCTATTCTGCAGCACATTTGCCCTCTCTTTCTCTTCGAGGTTGACAACTTGAAACTTCACCTATTCCAGCTCTAAATAAAAGCTATTGATATGTGACTAATCTTGATCTTTCCTTTTGAGGATCTCCAGAGCTAGGTAATTGGGGAATGAACCCTACTCATTTCGATAATCTCCTTCACTCCCTCTGAGGCCTAAAAGGAATTAGAAACTCTTTAAAGAAGATAACAATGCACTTGTGTGGGCTTGACGAGAAGGAGATTAGGGAGATACTGGACAAGTACAAGTTTAATAAAAAAATAACGATTTTGGCTTCTTAGGCCATGTTTTCCTTAATACTACTTCTAAAATCAATTACAGTCTTAATATTCGGGGTTTTGGGGTTTTGGGGTTTTGGGGTTTTGGGGTTTTGGGGTTTTGGGG